ACAGGTATTAAAGTTGCTGCTGCCTTCTAATTCTTTGAAGAACAACCTGCTTGACTCTTGTTAGTGTAACTAGTACAGATTAGTACTGAAAGTAATTCACAGACTATTTTATGATATATTGGATGTAATCAATTTGTTTTCATTTTTAAAATTGGGAATACCACAAGCCACGACTGCCTAGCTGTCTGCATAAATATATACTTGAAAAATATTTGCTCAGCACATGCTGTTTCCATATTACTTTGTCCCAGGCATAGGGACACCAGGGAGGGAAGGAAGGTGAAAAGCCCAATCTCTGGAGTCCTAAGGCCTGGGTTCGAATTCCTGCTCAGCCACTTGCTAGTCGTGTCATCATAGGCAGGTACTCGATCTCTCTAGACTCTACATTTTTACTCTGTAAAATGTGGGTAAGCACAATAATACCCTTAATGCCGTTGGATGGCTGAAAGAGATCATCCGAATTAACTGCTCAGTGCAGTGCTCAGCACAGTTAGTACTCAGTGAAATCATTATTATTTTTTGACAATATAGTGGTGAATTTCTAGATGCTATTCTTCCCTCAAGGAACTGACTGGTTCCGCTAGCTGGTGAAATTGGAGGGATCTCACTTATTCTTGGGAACGGTATTAGGAGGCAGGAAGAGAAGGCACTTAGTGAGACCTGATGGATGAGTGACAATTGTCCTGGCAGTGGTAAAGGGTGAGGAAGAAGGGAAGGAATAAGGCCTGTGGAGAACAGGATGGTCTCAGCGCTGGGGATACAATACCAAGTGCTGGATGTGACAGAGGACAGAACCACAGGCAGTTCCTTGTTGCCATACTGTGGAGTGGGTAGAGAGGGAGGTAGGTGGTGGGAACTGCAGCTAGGGAGTCCAGGTAGGACTAGATCTCAAGGGACGTGTGTTCAAAGCTTAGTACTTTAGACTTTACCTTGAAGACAATAGGGATCTGGAGTCAGTCTGTGAGTAACGGTCTCCTTTTCAAAAAGGTACTTACATAATTTTTTTAAATGATAAAGGAAATTATTTACAGAAAGGGCAGAGTTCATTGTTTTCTCATTCAGAGTACACTGACCATTGCCCGTGTGAGGCTGGCGCTCTCATTTAATTTCTCCTGCCCCTCCTTCCTTACCCATTTCTTTCTCCTCCTCCTTGTCATTTTAAAGACACCCATTTTTGTTTTTTTTAACTTCTAGGGTAAATGTGCAGGGTGTGCAGGTTTGTTACGTAGGTAAATGTGTGCCGTGGTGGTTTGCTTCACCTATCAACACATCACCTGGGCATTAAGCTTAGCATGTATTAGCTCTTTTCCCTAATGCTTTCCTCTTCCACCACCCTTCCTGGCAGGCTCCAGTGTATGTTGTTTCCCTTGCCGTGTCCATGTGTTATCATTGTTCAGCTCCCACTTATAAGTGTGGTATTTGGTTTGCTGTGCCTGCATTCGTTTGCTAAGGATGTCTCTGCAAAGGACGTGATCTCATTCCTTTTTGTGGCTGCAGAGTATTCTGTGGTGCATATGTGCTACATTTTCTTTATCCAGTCTATCATTGATGGACATGTGGGTTGATTCCATGTCTTTGCTATTGTGAACAGTGCTGCAATGAACATACACATGCATGTATCTTTGTAATAGAATAATTTATATTCCTTTGGGTATATACCCAGTAATGGGATCCCTAGGTCAAATAGTATTTCTAGTTGTAAATCTTTGAGGAATCACTACACTGTCTTCCACATGGTTGAACTAATTTACATTCCCACCAACAATGTAAAAGCATTCCTGTTTCTCCCCAACCTCACCAGCATCTGTTGTTTCTTGACTTTTTAACAACTACCATTCTGACTGGCATGAGATGGTATATCATTGTGGTTTTGATTTGCATTTCTCTAACGAACAGTGATGTTGAGCTTTTTTTCATGTTTGTTGGCTACGTGTAAAGACACCCATGTTTTTTAATGTGCTTGACATGGCCTTAAATATGCATGTATCCTTGTAAAGTACATAGTGTTGTTCTTTTTTTTGAGACAGTCTCACTCTGTCGCCAGGTGCTAGGCTGGAGTGCAGTGGCACAATCTCGGCTCATTGCAACCTCCACCTCCCGGGTTCAAGCAATTCTCCCGCCTCAGCCTCCCGAGTAGCTGGGACTACAGGCGCACGCCACCACGCCCAGCTAATTTTTGTATATTTAGTAGAGACGAGTTTTCACCATGTTGGCCAGGATGGTCTCAATCTCTTGACCTCGTGATCCGCCTGCCTCAGCCCCCCAAAGTGCTGGGATTACAGGCTTGAGCCACCGCGCCCAGCCCGTAGTGTTGTTCTTTGTGTCTTTTAAATTAACCTACATGGTATTTTGCTAAAAATAATTCCCTGCGTCTAAATTTTTTCATTAGATACAAAGCCTCTATGTGTGTATATGCACATCAATCACTGTGTCACATTGTTGTACACATAATCCATATACAATATACATTGTAGCATTATTTATAACAGTTTGAAATAACCTAAATACTTACTGCATACTAGGGAATGGATAACTAATCCTATATCAGCAATGTTAAATATCATGCTTCCATTAACAATGATAGCTCTTGATACGAAGGGATACGTGCTTATGACACTGTTAAGTGAGAAAAGCAGACGAAATAGTCTAAACTGTGACAACCACAAAAATACACCTTCAAACAGCCAAGGGCTGGAAAGGACCAGAGAAAAATAAAAACAGGTATGAATATCTGAGCAAGGGAATCTTGGGTAACATTTCTCATGTATAGTAGCTCCCCCTGTTTCAAGTTTCACTTTCCAAGGTTTCAGTTACCCCCGTTGACCTTGGTCCAAAAATATTACATGGAAAATTCCAGAAACAAACAATTCTTAAGTTTTAAATTGTGCAGTGTTCTGAGTGGTGTGAAGAAATCTTGCGCCACCCAGCTTCATCCTGCAAAGGACTTGAATCCTCCCTTCGTCCAGCAGATCCACACTGCAGAAGCTCCCCTCCTCATGAGTCACTTGGTAGCTGGAAGATAGTGATGCTGGCATATTGTTAGAATTGTTCTATTTTATTATTAGTTATTGTTGTTAATCTCTTACTAGGCCTAATTTACAAATTAAACTTTGTAATAGATAGACATGCAAAGGGAAAAGCAGTATATAGAGGGTTTGGTACTATCTCCGGTTTTAGGCATCCGCTAGAGGTTTTGGAGCCCATCCTCCAGGGACAATGGGGTGCTTCTGTAGCTGTAAGCTGATGGTGTGCCCAGAGACTTGCATTATACACCATAGCATCTTCTACAGTTTTAGGGGAGAGGGAAGATCAGAGCAGTACCCATCTGCTGCTTCTCGCCCCAAAATTGGCAAGGAGCGCCTCTCTTCAGCCAGAAAGGCTTCCTTTCCACCAGCTGTGTCCTGCAATCAACTGCAGCTGTATTTGTCTCACCCACCATGGGAAACAGGTTTGAAGTTAAAAAACGTTTTCAGAGGGCTGAGATAAATTTAGTGCTGCTAAATTTAATTATTTTCAAGATTAAACATGAAAAGCAAAGATCCTGAGTTATGTATATTATTCTTTCAATTGTGCAAAAATAAGACATTAACTTATTTTTGCATGGAAAAATTCTTTAAGAATAGACAAGAAATGTTAACAGTTTCCCCTGGGGAGGGAGACTGGGGATCTGGGATAAAAGAGAGACATCATGCTTTTATTTAAAAAACAAAACAAAACTCACTCTCTCTCTCTCTCTCTCTCTCTCTCTCTCTCTCTCTCTCTCTATACATATATATATATAATTGTTTAGGCTTTTGTGGAATTTTTTGTTGTTGTTGTTTTTTGACAGTTTAGCTTTGTAGTCCAGGCTGAAGTGTAGTGGTGGGATCTCAGTTCACTGCAACCTCCATCTCCTGGGTTCAAGTGATTCTTGTGCCTCAGCCTCGGGAGTAGCTGGGATTTCAGATGTGCACCACCATACTCAGCTAATGTTTGTATTTTCAGTAGAGACCGCGTTTCACCATGTTGGCCAGGCTGGTCTGAAACTCTTGACCTCAAGTGATCAGCCTGCCTTGGCCTCTCAAAGTGCTGGGATTACAGGCGTGAGCCACTGTGCCTGGCCCATGCTTTTCTCGAAAGTACGAAAAGAGTATGTACTTTCTTCTTAAAAACTACGTACCAAACAAACATCACTTTTTCAATTAAAATGTCATTTTTAAAGTTTTAAATCTCCAAATTTCATGGCTCTAACTTTTTAAATATCACCTTTTAAATGTCTAAATTTTTAACTCATTACAAAGTTCTTCAAAATAACAGATTCATATTCTGAGCCCCAAACTGTGCACCTCTTTTTAGTGATGAGGACGAAGTCCAAATTGAGGACATCCCTTATCACTCAGAATGAACACATCTTCTGCCATTAATAACGCAGAATGAAAGTGATGACCAAGATACATTCACAAAGAATTAGGGGACTATGCCTAAGTTGCATTCGGATTCCGGTGTGACTGCTAACGTCCTTAACACGGACCAGCTCCGTCCTCCGGACCCACGCCCCGCAGACCCGGTCCTAGCTCGCTCGCTCCACCACCGAGGGCCTCTGGGTGCAGCGACAGAGCGCAGGGCCGCGGCGACCCCGCCCCGCGCCGCGTCACTCGGCGCCCTGCGGCGCGCGGTGAGCACCTACCACCGGCACAGCTGCGAGGGAGAGGCCGGGCCCCTTCCCGCTGCCCGCGGCCCCGCGCAGGCACTCAGAGCGCCGCTCCTGGCGCTAAATTTAAAAACGTAACACGAACAGCAGGCTGGTCCCGGAAACGAAACGAAACTCGGCCCGCGGGCCTCCTCCCGGGCGCTGCCGGTCGCTGTGCGCGCCGGGCCACCCGGAACAGACCCTTCTCCCGCCATTTTCGGCGGGGCTGGGAGGCTGAGGCCAGCGGCGCCCCGGAAGAGGCGGGCGGCATGGCCGCCGGCGTGGACTGCGGGGACGGGGTTGGCGCCCGGCAGCACGTGTTCCTGGTTCCAGGTAAACACGCGCGCCCGGGCGGCGGGGGTTGCCAGAGAGCTGGCGGAGCGGCCTTCGACCCCGGGCGCGCCGCCCTGCACCCCGGCTGCTCCCACTCCCTGGCCCGGCGCGGGATGGGATTCTCTCCGGACAACGGGCCCCGCATCTTGGTCGCACGTCATAGCCAGCCGCGGTTTTCAAACCCGGAAGCGCTGAAAAGGATCGAGCGTGTTTCCCGGGCTCTGATCGCCGGTTGCTCGGGTGGGCGGGCGGAAGCCGACCCAGCCTGCCGAGAGCCACATGGGTTCCTCGTCACCGGTGCTCTGCGGGCCCCGGAGGTTTCTGCCCTTGGGGTAACTTGGTGTCCCCCACCTCGCAGCTGGCCCTGCTTCCGAGATCCTACTGGGTGGGAACCAGGGATCCAGTAGGCTCGGAGTGGCCTCAGACGGTGCGCGGTTTTTACAGGAAAGCAAAGGGACAGGCCTGCAGTGGCGAGGCAGGAGGGAAGGGGGATGGGAGTCGCGGTTAGGCCAAGGGTGGTTCAAAGCGATTCAGCAGGATAATGACCACAGGAGTATAGGAGCCGGGCCTTTTAGCCCCCGGTGTGGATGATGACAGCCCATCCAGGGTATGTGAGGCTTGGGACAGTGGACAGCCAGTGCCACACAAAGAAGGGCCCATTAAGTGACAGAGTAGAAGGAATTTGGCCTAGGGAGTGCAAGCCAGGAAGGTTTGGTCATTTTACATATGTATAACATTGGAAAAAAGGAAAATCTATTCACTATATTAAATTTTCAGTTTAGCTCAGCAAATGCAGAGTGTTTGTTGCGGTAAATATACTCTGATACCAACATACTTTCCAGGAATTTAGAGTTTTATTGATGATCATTGAAAATTTTTCCATGACACTGTCAAGACTCTTTTTTGCCTCTAAAAAAAATACTTAAAAGTGTACGAATTTTAAGTATGCAACTCACTGAACTTTTCATACGTATACACTTACCCAGTAACCATCCCTCAGTTGAAGATGTAGACCCTTTCCAATAGCTCCTCATGCCTGTTCCTAGAGAACCCCAGGAACCGCTCTGCTGACCTCTGTCACCAGAGATAAGTTTTGCCTGTTCGAATAAGAGGGTACCCCTTTGTGCCTGGCTTCTTTCACTCTGAAAGATTCATCCATGGTTTGTGAAAAATCATTCATGTTGTAGCAGTTGTTTGGTTGTTTTTTTCATTGCTGCTTCTGCTTAATTGTATGAATAGCCATTCTATTTATCTCCTCTACTGTGGATGGACATTTGGGTTGTTTCCAGTTTGCAACTGTTACAAGTTACACTTCTGAGAACATTCCTTTAGGCGGCTTTTGGTGGACATACGCACTCATTTCTCTAGGGTGTATACCCTGGAATGGAATGGCTGGTTGTAAGTCCTTGTGTGTTTAGCTGTAGTTGACGCTGTTAAATGGTTTTCCAAAGTAGTTATACTGATTTATATTCCCATAAGCAGTGTATGAGAGTTCCCGTTGCTACACATCCTCAATACAGATGTTTGGGGTGATAAAACAGCTAATGTGAAATTCGGGGTTTTGACAGAATCTCGCAAAGGGCTACCTGTGTACATGCTTTCATGAGAAAAATCATCCTTCTCACTTTGTCACATCCAGACAATTAGATTTTCAGGGAAGGAACTAATCATTCTTTCAGAATCAAGTGTATTATTCAGATATACACGATAGCTGATGATAATTTGAGCTTCTTATTTTGTTGTTCAGTTTAATCAGTATTGAGATCATCACTTTAAAAGTGTGTTTGTGTCCTTATTGTATTAAACACAGAACCTGCAGAAGAATTAAATATTGATTGTATCCCTGAAAATTGTAGGTTTTAGTATATCTACTGCTGGGTTGTGAGAAGAGTTTCAGTCGCGTTTCTGTTCAAAGCTGAGATCTACTATGACCTTTTAAGGCATTGGGGAAGGCTGAGCAGCTGTTGGGAACTGCTAGAAAGAGCTGTGTGGTCAGCCTGGCAGGAACTTTAACGGTTAAAAACTTGAGCTACCAGCTCCTGTAATTTTTCCTTTTGGCCTTTAGTGCCACCTGCAGGCTCTGAGGGTACAACACGGTTTGATAGCGACTGCCGTGCAAAAGTAGTTCTCAAACTTGAGGGCGTCAGTCACCTGGGGAGCTAGGCCCCCGTCCCCAGAGGTTCTGGTTCAGTAGGTCCTGGGCTGGGGCCAAAGAATGTGCATTCCCCGGAGATGCTGATGCTGCTGGTCCGGAAACCTCTGCCCCCAACGCCAGGAACCACTGCAATAAAGACCAGCCTTTGGGAACTGGATTGGGATATAGGAATGGGCAGCCTCATGTGTGGCTCATTTTGTGCTGGGCCGGAATTTATATGGCCAAGGAAGCGCATGTAAATGCAGAGTATGAGGCTCATCTTCCGAGCTGTAGTTGTTGGCTTTTACAGAAGATGAGAAATCAGCCTGCTTAGTTATACATTCAGGAGTAGGAAACCATATGCCCTCGGCTGAGGGACCACCATACTCCAGTAAAGTTGGGCCCTTACTAAAGAAAACAAAGATTATTAAACATTTTTCAGAAGTATTTGGTGGAGGTGGTCTGTATTCAGATTTAGAAAACTTTTGGGCTCTGAAGAACTTACTCTGTATACTGAAAAGTGAGCACATGAACCCACAGGCAAACAGAACTTTGAAGGGGTTTATCCATGAGACAGAGTAAAGCTGCCTAACCTTGCAGTGATACTTTTTTCCAATATTTAATTCATGCTGTTTATTGAGCTGCCTGCCACAGCACTGTGTTATATCTTGAAGGATATATTTAAACGTTCGATTTAGGTATCTTTGCCTCTAGTTTTCAGTTTGTTTAGAGAAGCTGACTATCTCAGATAAACAAATCTGGAACTTGAAAGAGATACTTGTGAGATATTCAGACTTGGGACGTTGGTTTTCATAGACGGGTGAAGACAGAACCGTTTCCTGTTTCAGCAAGACAAGCATTTCTTTTAGTTTGGAATGGTTTTTAATGTTTCTGTAAAACGGCCTGGGAATACTAGCCTCTTTGCCGTTTTAATTTCTATAAGAGGCCGTTAACATCTTTACTTTTTGGAAAATAGTAGAAGTTTCCATCCCTCCTTTTCTACCCAAAAAGTAAATGTTTGAGTCATATTTTTAATATTTTTCTGAAGTCCGTTTTTCTTGTTAATATTACTAAGTTGGGATGCACCCAGGTGTGAGAAGTCACCTGATTCACTGCCTTTAGATAGAAGACTGCATTTATTGCTGTTGGGGGCTGAACAATTAATTGGGTTCATCTCCAAGGAAATGTTAATTGGGAAACCCTAACATTGTGTATGAAAAAAAAAAAAAAAAAAGAGCAGAAATCATTTCAGGCCCATTACAACAAAAGAGCAAAACTCATTTGGGTTCACTTAGGCTGATTAAAATGTTCCTTAATCAGTTCCCTGATTTAAAAGTCCTGAGGGGAAACTGGACCTCAACTTGAATTTTCGCTTTGAGACAAGTTTTGCAATAAAGTTAGCCCCCTTCATTTCATGAGTATACATGTTAAAAAGTATTTTAGGAAAGATTGCCCTTATTTATTTCCCCACGGAAAGTAGTTTCTTGGAAGTTAAAGGGTGGCTTGCTTTTTGGGAGGTAAGAATCACCACCTACCTTAGACATTTCAAATACAATAATAGTTTTTTATATGAGGCACCATTCTAATCACAAATGATTATACCAGAGCCGTCTCTCCAAGTGGAATGCAAGAATAGATGTGGAAGGATTGTATAAATTCAAGCATTAGAACTATGTTCAAATTAAACGTTTTTAAAAAGAAATTAAATTTAAAAGGGAAACCTAATTTTTTTATTTAACGATGGAGAAAATTTATATTATTTTTTTCTGATTATAATCTTGAAACTTTTTTTTTTTTTTTTGATCCACCAACTGGCATAATTATAGCTTTTTATAAGCCCAAAAGAAACGCCTCTTGTTTTGTGGAAGAAAAAAAGTAAAAGTTTAAAGTGTATGGCCAAGGAAGAACTAATATAGATTTAATTGACTTTTCAGTGACCCTAAAAACACTCTTTTCCCTCCTTTACCTAATGGCACATGGTTAATCTCCAAAGAAAAACTTAAGCAGGATTTTTGTTCTTTGTCAGAACAGTATGTATGTTTACGTTTGTGTTTAGAAATATACCTGGGGGCCGAAAGCTTCCTTGTTTCCAGAAACGATGAACTTCACTTGGCAAATGATAGAGAACCTGGCTAATTCAAGTGCTGATCTTAGACAACCTCGGAATAATTAAGCTCAGCTTTTTGGAAATTGTGTCATTTGCCAAATAATCTCCTGCAGGCAGTTAGCAACATAAGAGTCTCAAAGTTTTCCAGCATAGAGCATGTTTAACATTTTCCACACGAATCCTGAGTCTGGCTTTGTTTTTGCGAAAGGTTTTTTGGTGGCACCTGACTGACATTTCTCAGATGGCCAGTGGATCCACTTCCCTTGCTGTCTATCTGAGCATGTTCTGAAGTGGATGGACTTTATCAGTTGCCAGTTGGTATAACCAGGCTGTTTCTAGAGCCTGATCCTGTCCCCTTAGTAATTGTTCCAAAATACTGGGATATTTATATGTAAGAACTCATGACTCCCACGTATATATCCTCCAGGTCACAAAAAAAAAAAATTAATAAAAGGAAAGCAAGCAGTGTTCATGATTTTTTATTTGAGTAACAGAATAGGGACTGCGTGGGTTCTCCCACATCCTCTGAGCTTTAACTGTGGTGCTGAAGAGCAAACAACTCAGTCAGTGTGCTCCGAAGCTTGGCTCTAATAACACACACTTAAAAACCAGATTTATGCCGCTTATTAGCTCTGTGTCCTTGGACAGTTTGCCTCCTCACTATAAAGCCTCACTTTCATCATCGCTGCAGTGGGGAGAGGACCAGTCTCGTGGGGTTGTTATCTGTGGTTCGAGTTACTCATAAGCTTTCTTACACCTCAAGGTTTTAGCCCTGGCCCTGGTACAGAGTAGATATTTCAATAGATATTTACTGAACAAATAAAAGTCTCACATTCCACTTCTTCCTGCAATGTCTTTTCTTATTCTGTTTTTTCCTCCCTTTCTACTTCGATTCAAATTCTCCTCTTTCCTCAAGGCTCTGTTCAACTGCATTTTCCACAAAGCTAAGCCGTTTGCTCCAGCCCAACTTCTCTGTCTTGACTCTGTGTCTGCCTGGAATCCTGCCTGCTCTGCACTTTATTTACCTGGCAAATTCCTACTTATCCTTTAAACCCAGCTCAGGTGATCACCTCTACCAGGAAGCCTTCCTGTGGGTCTCTCCTCTTGCTACTGCCCAGCTTAGAGGTACCTCTTTGACCACCTACACATTTCATTATGATTATTCGTTTAAGTTGCATTTTTATAT